ATCAGCCCTCTGGGGCCAGGAGCCCTTCTGGTAGAGATGTGTTAAGATGGCAAGTGTCCACGTGTGCGTGAACTGTGGCTTTTGAGTCCCCTTTGTGTGTGTGTGTGTGTGAGAGAGAGAGAGTGCGCTAGTTTCACAGAGCAGAGTCCTGAGGAGGGGACTGCTACGTAAATGAGAACTGACAGTTAATAAACATATCGCCGGGGCTGTGGCAACAGAAATCGATGCATTTCAACTTCCACATAAAAGAAAGCAGCCAAGGTGTTTCAAGTCCTTTTAGAGTGATGAATGCAATTTACACAATAAGCAAGAAAACATGATTGGGATTAGATGGTGTAAGATCCCATCTAGGAAACAGAAAAGAGGTGTCTGATGGAGGTGATGTTGCTAACCTTAGGAACTGCCAGCACAGTCAGTTCTTAAAGCTGTAACAACAACAACAACAACAAAGACAACAACAGACACGCAAAACATGTGAATATTAGCCAAAGAAATGATAAAAATGTAGGTTGCTGTGACCCACATTTTCCTCACAATGGGGCCAGGGCTCAGCTTGGACCCAACAGCTGTCAGCTTTTGTTTTAAGTGACTATGCCTAGTATATTTGAGTGAAGCAGAAGTAAATGGCAGGTCTAGGAACACATAAAACCCATTTTATGCAACTTTGGACAAGCCAAACCCTTCTGTTTCCAAAGAGCTTTCCCCAGGCCACCACTAACCTCTATCTGCAGTCAATGTGAAAGGCACCTCCCTTGCTGGGAGCAGAGCTGTTCTGGGGAACAAAATGAAGTCACTGAAGTTTTTAACATCTGTCGTAGAACAGGCTTTCAATACCCCCAACCAACCTTCAGATCCCACGTGTTTCAGTAATCTAATACTAGGGGATAAGAGTTGTGTCCCTTTTGTTTTTGATGCTGGGGACACAATTTTGGGGCCCTCTTCCCCAGAGGGACTCCTGCAGGAGCAGCTGGGTATTGCTTTGGAGTTACCTTGGTCTAAAGGCTTCCTTGCTCCACTGCTCTGTGACCTTAGGCAACTTACCTAACCTCTCTGACAGTAGGCATCAGCTGATGTTAAATGGAATTGATGTCATTCCCTCCGCAGCATGGCTGTGAGCAGTCAGTAGGATGATGTGCAAGGAGCAGGTGGTGGACCCACACCATAGCAAGCACTGAATGAACATGAACTTCACCGACTTATTTCATTACCCTAAGTTTTCCTTCATGGCTCCTAAAGTTGGTAACAAAGGCCCCTGGGAAGGCAGATGTCTGTGGAATTAGAATCAGTTAAGAGGACTGTCTAGCTTACAGTGAGGCTCTGAAGAACTGGTGGCCATCTCCCCTCAGTCCTGTGGACCCCGCAGAATTTGGAATTGCAGAAGGACTCAGAAGATAGTGGAGATGCCAGGAGACACACATACACACACACACACCAGAGGCAGATGAATTAGCTACGGCTGTCTTGGTTCTCTTTACTCTCTTCACCTCATTCAGGTAGAGCCTGTGGGTCCAAGCACCCTTGGTTTGTCCAACTCCAGGTTGAGGTTTCATCCTGGGAGTGACTAGGCAGAATGTGCCTTGTCTCCTGGGTCTCAGACCCAGCTGCTCACCCATCCCTCTTTCTTATTGGGTAGTTAACAGCTAAAGAAAACAGTCTCTAAGTGCTTACCTGTCTTTATCCTCACCTATTTCTTTTATTTTGCACATCAAAGAGTTAAGGCTGGGATTGGAAAAGCAGGAGCCTGGGGCAGCTGGAGGTTGGTTGCTTACTCCTTCAGGTGGGCTCAGCCTTTGGCCGTGTGGCTGTCTCACTGGACTTGGGCATGATGGCCTGGGCGCTACAACATGCTCACATGGTGGCTGGCATCTCTAGCACAAGCATTCCGGAGGGCCAGGAGGAAGCTACCTGGCATGTAGAGTCCTGCCTCAAAAGCATAATTTGTAGGTCTGATGCCCAGTGGGATTGTGGGATTTTTGTCTGAAAAGTATCCACTCATTCAAGACTATCGCAGAATTAGCAAAGTTAAGACTACTACCGAATCAGGGAGCCAGGTGCAGGACACTTTTGGGCAGAGAATCCTCTATGACATAATTGGTACTGTGTCTAAGGAAGTCACGCAGTGTCACTCTCACCGTGAAGCCATTTGCCAACCAGACATTCAGTAAGCCGAGGCTGAAGAAGAAAAGATGTAGAACGCGCCTTTTCATGATGGAAGCGTTAAAGAATTCACAGGCAAATCTTAAAACCTTGAGTCCTCATTTCTGTTATGTTTCTGGGTTCTGTCGGTCAGTCTCTAGGTGTTACATAAAATCTCATTCCACACGAAGGAACACATTCTTCTGCCAGTGATTCTTTTTTTTTTTTTTTAAATTTAAGGTGAGTTAAATGTAGATTTAAGATAATATGATGTTGTCCACTATAAGGAGACGTGACTTTCAAATTTGTGGTTAAATTGATCCCAGCTCTTTGGAAATGACTGACTAGGGTTTCCTGCCTTGCACTGAGCCCTCTGCTCTGTGACCATTGCCTCTAGGTCTTGTCCTTTTGTGTCTAGCACCTTCCAGGTCAGATGGAGGGATCAAATTCCTTGATGAGGAAGAATCATTTCTTGATAGGGGTCCAGATGAAAAAAATAATGTGCAAGTTCCTCCCCCATCCAACACACGTCCTGTACTGCGCCTTGCACATGCTCTGGGCTTGGGCACAGTAAACCTTTCGTTTCCATGCCGCAGTGAGCATTCTTGTATTTGAGCCCCTATGTCATTTGATCTTCAGTAGAATTTCCCGGATTATTTTCTCTTATCCAGTTCTCTGAAATTCTAAGAAAATTAATTAGCTATTAAGTAGCTTTTGTAATTTCCTTAAAGTTTACAAGAGGGTAAGTTCTTAGAAATGAATTAGATGTTAATGAGCTTATTTATACCACTTTAAGCTTGCACAATATTTTCAATGATGTCATCCGATTGTAACGTTCTGGAAGCTCCTGTCACATTTCACCCTGTTGGTAGTTGAGAAAAAAGAAGTTCAAAAGTGTCGTTGCCCTTTTCAAGGTTGCACAGCTTTTAAAATGTGGAGCTGAAAACTGGAAATAAGTCCTCACACTTCGAATGCTTGCTGCACATCGGTATTGCATCCTGCCATCGCCTGGTGAATTTCATTCTTCCATGAATTTCAGCACAGAATTATTCATTCTCTGTGTCAACACCAAGGCCCAGTGGTGCCAGCCCCTGTAAATCACAGATAATCTGATCAAATAGTTCAAGATCTTGCTTGAACACTTTCTAAAAATGTTTTGAAAAGACAAAAGATGGATTTGATTTTAAAATTTTAAAAAATACAAAAGCTTTTTTCCATCCCTGCTCCAGCAATAAACATCCATGAGAGTATTATAAAATGAAATGGAATCAAAAGAGGAGACTATTTTGATGGAAAAATGTTGACATCCATGTGTATGAAGGGACTTCTAAAAAGTTCACGGGAAACATGTATGGATGTGTGGAAATCATTCATGGATTTCATCTTTCACACCAAAATGAACTTATCTTTCAGTTACATTTTGCATGAAATTTCTGAAGCACTTTGTGTAACTGTTGCACCTTTGCCCTTGCACATATGCAAATTATGGGGTACCACATGTTCTTGTATTGCATTTTGATTTGCTACGCTGAGCAGAATAATTTTCCACAGAATCTTCTATAAGCTTAGGAGAGCAATGGGAAGGTCCTGGAAATGAACAACTCACCTGTGTGCCAAAGAAACTTGGTGAAGTGATGGGTGCAAAGGCTTTGGCCCTGGGAAGACCCCAGATTCCTCTATGACTCTTCCATTTCTTATCTGAGAGATCTTGGGAAAGTCACTCAACTTTTATGAAAACTCATTTTCTTTTTAAAAAATGATAGATGATTTCAAATTTACAGAGCACTGGTGAGAATGCCCCCTATGCAGAGACATACTGGATGCTCTAAATAAATATTTACCCTCTTGAGAAATATGAACAATGCTTCCCCATGGGACTTTGCAATCCGTGGTCAGCAGAGTGTTACATTTACCAGAGTGGTGATTTCTCCCCACAGATGAAGTTTCATGTGGAAAATTCAGCTTTGGGGAGCATCTTTGTTTCAGACAAGGGAACATGTTCTCTTGGGGACGGTATGGGTCTGCTCTCCACAGCTGCCCCCGACTCAGGGGCACTGGGGCTTCTTGCCGCCTCTTTAGATGCTTTTCCAATTCTTTATCTCTTTTCTATATTAATGCTGACTAGAACTCATTCATTTACAATGAAACCACATAGCATAAGGGACAAAATTTCATGGCAAATAAGGATGAATGCTTTCATTGGTTATTTTTTAAAACAAAAGAAAAACCTTTTGCATGTATTTTTGTTTGGGAATAACCTTTATATAATCATTGCAGAGTTAGAGTGAAAAAGCAATCAAGGTTGAGTTATTTTTGGCCAAGAAAAAATTGCAAAGACAATTGTGTGATTACGCATGTTATCTATTTTCATCATAAGCAAGCAACGGAGGGGTCATCAATTTTCTGGAGATGCTCTCTTACTCAGGTGATAATTAAACAAGCCTTGCTTTGCTGTCCCTGGCTGTTACTACTCCTACACATTTTCTGTTTTTCTAATTGTGAAGGGTTCTCTTGCTTCAGGAGCCTCCCTTGCCAATGGCATTTCCCAGAATCCCCACTGATATCAACCATCACTTTTGCTGACTTGATGAATTATCCAGCCTTGGCAAATGTGACTAACTTTGCAAATGTCCTGCATTGAATTTGTATTGAGTTTTTAAAAAATGTAATTTGTGTCATCTGCAAACCAGTGTGATGGACTGAGTAGTCCTCCTGTCCCCAGAGAGGCCTGTGTCCTAAAGCCTGGAGCTGGTGAATGCTACGTAACAAGGCAAAGGGAATTTGCAGACATGACTGAGTTACGGCTGTTGTGACCTTCAGGATTTTATCTTTCTCTTTCAGGTAGTCTTATGCAATTGCAAATGCCATAATAGAAGGAAACAAGAGAGTTAATTGAGTGTAATCCAGCAGATGTGATGACGTTAGTGAGACTGTAGTGAAGTATCCACCAGCAAAGAGAAGTCCAGTGTCTTGAGGAGCAAGAAGTGACAATCAGGATTTCCAGAAAGAACACCATGGACTTGGCCTCTTAAGATTCATTTCAGGCTTTCTGACCTCCAGAACTGTAAGAAAATAAACACATGTTCTTTAAGCCATGCTTAAAGTAATTTGTCTCAGCAGCCATGTGGGACTAATGGATCCAAACTCTAACTGAAATTCGCAGGAGTGACTAGATGGGGTTGAGAAGAGTGTGGGCTACACAGAGTTGGTTGAGCAACAATTTTGAGGGCTTTGGTTCTCCCTCTAGCCTACAACTAGAGTGCGCAAGTATCTTTCTGTGCATGTTTATAATAAAAAATTAGTGCTTGATGGAAAATTTATTTAAGCACTCCCCATCTTGTCTTGTTAGGGATTGGGATTCTTCCTTGCAGAGCTCCTGTATCCAGTCGGGATCGTGGTCAAAAACAGAAACTGAAGATGCTCCAGGGGTCTTCAAAGATCCACTAACCCCCACAGAAATACAGCAAGAATGCTGAGGGTTAGTGAGAAGCAGAGCCCACTGATGTTGGAACACTGTACGACAGAAGATGAAATTAAACCCTACTGAGCTGAGAGGTGGGGCTTCGTGAGGCAGTGATAAGCAAGGAGGATTTTTGTAAAGATTTACTGTGGTGGATGTGTTGTGATTTATACCCTAAGGCCTCACAACCAGCTCCCCTCAATGAAAATCCTTAGTAATGATTTGGAGTCAAGCTCTTGTTTGTTTTTGAAATGTAGCCCTCTAATGTGGCTGATCCCAAAGCAGAAAGAGGCATAATTTTATTTGGATTGCATGTTCTCAAAACAAAAGCTTTTCTTATTTCTTTAAAAAAAAATTTTTTTAAAGATTTACTTATTTACTGGAAAGTCAGATATACAGAGAGGAGGAGAGACAGAGAGAAAGATCTTCTGTCCGATGATTCACTTCCCAAGTGAGCGCAATGGCCAATGCTATGCCAATCCAAAGCCAGGAGCCAGGAATTTCTTCTGGGTCTCCCACATGGGTGCAGGGTCCCAAGGCTTTGGGTTGTCCTTGACTGCTTTCCCAGGCCACAAGCAGGGAGCTGGATGGGAAGTGGAGCTGCCGGGATTAGAATCGGTGCCCATATGGGATCCTGGCGAGTTCAAAGTGAGGACTTTAGCTGCTAGGCCATTGCGCTGGGTCTGCTTTTCTTATTTCTTAACAGAGATTTCTAAGTAGATCTTTCTGACCTGTGAGCATCCAGGCAGGGACCAGCATGTCCGCAGCTCTCATCTCCAGCAACTTGAGTCTTTCTGTTGATCATCTTCTTAAAAAGTGACTTTTTGGTATTTTGTGCTTTCTGAGTAGAGATTTTTATGGGCAAGGCCTTTCTAACCTCAGTTTCATGATTCTACTTCTTATTTTCTCTCTTTTTTCTTGAATGTATTGCAGTCCAACATCTATCACTTTTGAATTCCTTTCCCTGGCTGCCATCTCCAAAATCTGTCTGATCCTTGATTGTTTTTGGTGGATATTCCTGCCTGGGGTGGCTCCTGTGTCTTACAATGATGGTTGTATGGGAACTGATGTGCAAAGGCAAAGAATTGTGCTCATTTGCCCACAGAAGTCCCACTTCGTCCCACAACGTTACGCACTGTCATCTAATCACTGACTTTGATGAATAACAGTCATGTCTGCAACCGATCCCTCAGCCTGTGGTCCTAGGGAGACCCTCACATCCCAGCCAGTTTCTGTCTTAGGCTTGGTGGATTTCAGCCTGGAACAATTTCTGCAAGAGGTCTGCCTTGTTGCCTCCTCTCTGCTAGGTCCAGGGAGAATTCAAGGTGATTCTCAATGTTGATATGGCCTTCCCATGTGCAATCTGTGAGGTTTGAATGTTATTTTAGTTATTCCTCTCCACCTCCTGCCCCCTCCCCATGCCATTAAAGTTGAGCTGGATGATTCACAGCTGGTCAGAGAGGCCATTCAGGAGGCACCAGATACTGGAGATTCCATTGTGGAGCCACATGTGTTCATGCTGTCCATTCGCTGCAATGGGAAAGAGGGACTCTGTCCAAGTATTTATGACCTGAGCTGATGGAGTTGGAGAGAAAAGAGTGGGATTTATTTTTCTACAGGCTCTCAAAGCACTGCCTCACAGTGAACATATGGATGCCCTTTGCTTGCCAGAGCTCCATGAAATGTGGCTGAGTCCAAAGAACCAGGACCTCCAACTGGCCCATGTGCCAGGCAGGTGCAAGGCACGGCTGCTGGGTGCAACTTTTCTGGCTCTTAGGATGTAATTAAGTCCTGAGTGATGACTGCAGAGAATGGGTAGTTCTTGAAGCATGCAATCAAGAGAGAGGCCTTTAGTACAAACGAGGGAAGTGGACGCGTGTCAGCAGATTTTTGATAAAGGTGAAACAAATGGACAAGCGTGCACTTACCTCTCTCTGTTCAGTCTGTGTGGATCTGATGAGCAGAAGGCATTTGTTAGGCACAGAATCGCTCACTAAACAAAGATTACAATTCTTAGATAAATATCTATGTTTTGCCTAGGGTCTGGCATGGTAGGATTATTTTGTCAGGAAGTAAATAGCAAGGAAATATGTGTGGCACTTGAGAGGAAAAAATCTGGATCAACTCCTGTGTGATTCCATGAAAAGATCCAGTCAATTTTAGTCTCATTGCCGGAGGAAGAAGTTATGTAGCCATGCTGGGTAAGGCTCACAAATAACTCCGCAATCAAGAAGTAAATAATATCTAAACCCTATAAATTGAATTTTTATTAAGAAATTCATCTCTGGTTACCCCAGGGTTTATAAAATCTTTTAGCGTTGGTGGAGGAAGGCAATGTATCTCAATGTATAAAACTAGATTGATTGGGGTGAGGAATTTTAATTTTTTGGGTCAGGAATATATCTCACCTTTTAAAGCAAGCCTAATGGGAAGGGAGCAGACAAATGTTGCTTTAAAAGCCATTCTAATTCTTCTTGTTTTATCCTTTATCTGTGCTACCACTCCTGTTGCTAGTTGCATGTACTTTACAAATTGGGATTAATGGCTTTTTTGCATAAGAGATTCAAGGTCACAATTTCATAAATTGAGTAAATAAATAAATCCCTCTCTATCATGGGCTTTCTGTATACTTAGCCTCCATATATTCATTACTCTGCATCCAGAAGATGCCAGTACCACTATTAAGAAAATGTGTATTTCCTGTACGGAGCATACTGTTTCACTGTAAAATGAAAGTGGCAGTGCTCAACATACCATTTTGCAAAGATGAACAAGTGAAAATGTTTATACTGTCATCACACTTCCCATGGACAGATTCTCTTTTATAAGAATAGATAGCAGCAGATGAAATTGGAGAGTTTATTATGTGAAAGGTGTTTGCAATGATATATTATTATGCTCATTTCATCCCAGAGAAAACTTAGACTGAGACAGCGTAGGCAACGTAGCGGTGGTGTCAAGGTGGTATGGTCTTAGGCAGCTGGCTCAGGGTCACGAGGTCAGAAGCCATGACTCCCCTGCCTGTCCAGGACATACTTCTCAAATGCCCACAACACCAACCAAAGCTGGGCCAGGTCAAAGCCAGCCACAGAAACAATCTGGGTTTTTCACCCTGGCTGGCAGGAACCCAAGCCATCACCAGTGCCTCCTGGAACAGAGAGTGGGGCTGTGCCTTGAACTTGGGCATTAACCTCTGAATGCAGGTATCTCAAGCAGTGTCTTAAACCACTGTGCTAATTCCTCTGCTTTATAGTCAAAAGAGACATGACCATTCCAGGAGCTGTCCTGATTTGGTTACCTATAGAATGACTTTCTTAAAGGGGATTCAGTGGTGATATCATTCTTCTACATTAAAAAAAATACTATTTGTAATGATTAACTTGTTAATCTGGCTTTGAAGACGCTATAGAGGTAGAATTAATAAAAACTAGTGTGAGTCTGTTGAGAAAAAAGTGAAGCTCGCCCATCTGGACTCCTCTCTCCAGTGTTTCTGTTTATATAATCCATAGGAGAGACTGCAAAGTGGAATTTGAATTTTTAATTCAACTGGCATGGATCACTTATTACCTTCTTCTGGGATTGTTTCTGTCAAACAGGAAGGTGTAAATTAACTCTCATGTGTCAAATTGAATAAGACTGTAAGGCAAATAACAGAAAGATTGGTTAAAACAAAAAATCTCTCCATCAGAGAGGACTAGGATTTTTGGGGCTGGGAGGCAAGAGAAACACTAGCTATCCTGAACTAAAGCTGGCAGTGACTGCAGTTACTAACCTGTCACATCAAAACAGTGTGGAGGCGTTGGGAATTCCATGTTGTAGCTTGGTCTGGGATTTGCAATTCTTAACTTTGGTGTTGCCATTTTGCTCTTCTTTCAATATAAACTAAACACAGCAGACCCACAAAAGGACAATGTCACCAGTGCAGCTCTTGGCTTCTGCCATGCCGTGCCTGGCAGTGCTCTTGTATGCTCTGTGAAAGGCAATCACACAATCAAAGTCGTATCTTCCCTAAGGTTTCCTGGGGCAGCCTGGTGCTGCGATTTCCCTGTCACTGTTTGCGAGAGAGAGCCCTAGAGTTGATTTTTCTCTGAAATCTTTCGCCTCAATTCCCTGCACTCTGGCTCCTAGCTTGTCTTTAGCCAGACTCAACTAACTACCTGGAGTTGGCGTGGCGTGGCCTGTACCATTAATTGCTCAGTGGAATTTGAGGCATCTCTGAATAAACTCACTGCCCCAGAGATTCCATGTGTCTGCAGGCTGGACCCCAAAGCATCTTCCATCAACATGCTAGAAGGTGAATGAATCTTGACAAGCGGGTTCTGTGGCACAAAGGGCGGAGGCGACCTTTGGGATTAATATACTTTTCTTGTTTTCAGTTGTATTTCAACTGAAGAAATAGTTTGTAGATACTCCTTTTCCCCTCGTTTTGCTTATTAGCCTCCAGAGCAAACCTGTGAAGTTGATAAGCCTCCTGTGACGGCTATTGGTAGTAATTTTCCCCCCTTCAGTTCACTGATAAGAAAATGGCAGCTCTGTGTCGTTGGTCAAGTCAAACAGCTGGAAAGTGCTGGAATCAGGCTGTTCAGACTCCAAATCCTGTGTTCTTTTCTTGTAGTATGCTTGTTAGGGCTCAGCCCATGAGGTCCAAGGTGCTTTCTGCAGTCTCCCCATGGTTAACAGCAGCCAGACTCCACCTTGTGCTTTGGAGGGATGTGGTGGGAAGGGTTCTCCCTTGTGACGAGATCTGCTGCCCTCTGCTGGTAAACTGTCAGGACGTTCTTGTTGCTTGTTTCCTCTGGACTTTTATCTCCATTTTCCTAGTGCAACGTGGTTCTGCAGAGTGGCCAGTCTTACGTGAGGCCAGAAATGGTTGTGTTGGACACGTAAGGACTACATCAGAGAATATTAAGAAAGTAGGACTTGACCTTTGGCATAATGCTCCTGTTGTCTGAAAGCTCTCTTTTCTTCAGCTATTGTTTGAGGGTCACTTCCAGGTGTCTAATTCTTAGAGGGGCGTTGCCTCACCCAAGCCCTCTAGTCTTCCGATTCCCTTGGACAGAGAGTAAACCTTCTTCCCTAAAATCCAGCCAAAGGAGGCAACCGTGCAGAAGTACCGATCACGCACTTGGAAGCCTGGGAGCCGTGGAAAGAGTACAGGTGGAACTCTTCCCATCCTCTGGCAGCTTACACGGGGAGACCCGTCTGTGAGCTTCTGCAGGATGGCAGTGCACGTGCAAGCACTTGGTGTGAAGAGAAAGATCTTCACGTAGTGGCTCCACAGCCAGCAGAGCAGCTAGGGTCTGCCCGCAACACAGCATCCTGTAACAGAGCAATGGTTTGAGTCCCAGTTGCTCTTCTAATACAGTGCTCTGCTTACTGTGGCTGGGAGATCAGTAGGTGACGGCTTGAAGATGGCACAATTGGAGCTCCTGCCTCTTGGCCTTGGCCTGGACCAGCCTCAGCAGTTGTGGTCATTTAGGGAGTAACCCAGCAGATGGAAAATGTCTTTCCCTCTCTTCTCTATCATTCCTGTTCAGATAAATCAAGAAAGAAAATCTTGACAAGAAAATATCCAACACTCATCACCATATTTTTAGGAATGTGAATCAGTGGTTCTCAAAGTGTGATTCCTGGACTGGCCACATCAGCATCACTTGAGAAATCATTAAAAATGCAACTTCTCAGGCCTCATCTCAGACCCACTGAATCAGAACTTCCGGGAGTGGGGCCAGAAATCCGATTTCACAAAGACACATGGGGCACTGTGATGCACATTCTGATCGGAACAGCTGCTTAAGCTTACCACACACGTGACTGATACCAGATCATCTCCACTAAAGGAGGGTTATACCTGCGAGGTGGGAGGGAAAGGATGTCGAAATTAAGGTAGAGATTTGAAAGATGCAAGCCTCTATTGTCTTCTGAATGGCTAGGAGAGCTCGACCACCAGATAAATGGAGGTAATAACAGTACCATCTGGTGTTAAGGTGAGTCGTCACGTTCATAAAAGGGCAAAGTGGAGAGTCTGAAAGAAATGGTGACAACTTGGATTGATCAGGTTCCCCGATGAGTGTTCTGGGGCATTGTCGTGAAGCTGCCTTCTATTCTGACACCGTGACCTTCTCGGATACAGAGGCAGTAACATTATATCTTCCTGAAAAGGTCAAGACCAAAATTATTTCATCAAATTAATTTTTCTGGGAGGAGAGGAAAAAAAGGAATTTGTGATGTCATCTGCAAATTTTATTGAAACACAAGTTTGTTCAATTTGAGGTATAGTAAATACTAAGGCACTACAAAGCTTCTTGTTTAACCTTGTATTAAAACTGGAATTTATAAGACTTCAACTGAAGCATGATCCAAAGGGCTACCAGTGACATTCTTGTCTTTGACATCCAGAAGTTTCTTTTTGGAGAACCAGCACTCCTTGAATGCTTTGTGAGATAATAAAGCTCTTCCGGGAGAGGGGGAGGATTTAGTCCTAATGGAGAGAGTTCCTGAAATGGCAAAATAAGTTACCAATTGCTGTTTTGTGAGAAGGAGATGAAGAACTACCTGTTCTCAAGTACTGGGCAGCAGGTACATTTTAATTGTTTGCTATTATAAGCAGCAAAATAAAAGGAGGATTCCTTAGGTGTCCTTGTACACTATTAATACAACTCTCACAAAATTTGTCATGCGCCATAATCTCCTGCAAACTTATTAAAAATGCAGATTATTCACCCCTTGAGGGTATAATTTAGTAGGGATATGATTTTAACAAGCCTCCAAATGATTCTGGCCCACATGGTTTGAGGACCATACTGCTCCAAGCCCTGCCCAAGGCATGCTCATAATTTATAGGCTCATTATTTAGGCATATCTGAGCAACAAATCATATAAAAAGCTGATTCCATGTAGATAAAGACATAACTGTGAGCAACAGATGCGCATTCCAATAGAATCTCATTAGTTAGTATTTTGGGAAAATTACAGGTATAGACAATGTAAAATTAAACAATAATACTTTACCTTTTAGAGCAGTTTTAGGTTTATAGAAAATTGAGCACCCTGACACAGAGTTCGAATCTCATCCTTCGCTCATTCCCTTCCCTCTGATCATCAGCATGGTGCATTTCTTACAACAGCACAAATGTTGATTCATTACGAGTAACCAAGGTCCACAGTTCATGGTATTAAGGGTTACTCTTCGTGTTGAAAAGGCCTAGAGGATTTTGATATACGCACATTGTTCTGTACTCAACATTACAGCCCCCGGAAAGAGTCTCCCTGTCTGAAAAGTCCCCTGTGCTGCATGCAGCCACTGCTCTACCACTCCCTACTTCCAGCCCATGGCAACCACAAACCTTTTTATCGTCACTGTCCCTTTGGCTTTTCCGGAATGTTATACAGTTGGAATTATAGAGCATGTGTTCTTTCACATAGGTTCCTTTCACTAAGTAATATGCACGTAAGATTCTTTTATGCCTCTGTGACTTGCTAACTCTTTTGTTATGACTAAATGATATTCCTTTGAATGGACACCTTACACCTTCTTTATCCATTTACCTTTTAATGGACATCATAGCTATTTCCAGTGTTTTACACTTCACAGATACTTGAGAGTAGATTTTGGAATGAACGTAAGTTTGCAGTTCATGTGGGTAAATGCCCAGGAGTAGGCTTGCATGGTAAGAGTCTATGTGAGTTTTGTAAGAAATTGTTGAGCTGTCTTCCAAAGTGGCCATACTATTTTGTATTTCTACCCTTAATGGTAGAGATTTCCCATTGTTGTAAATCCATGCTGGCATTTATTATGGCAGTTTTCTTTTTTTGTTGTTGTTGTTTACCCTTTGAATAGGTGTATAATGATATCCTATTAGTTTTTTCTTATTTGTTTTTTAAATAGGCACACAGTTGTATCTATTTATGGAATGCCATGTGATGTTTTGATATATGTATACATTGTGTAATATTCAAACTAGGGTAAACATCTATTTCCGTTGTTATAATTTGCAGTTCCCTATTGACATATACTGTTGAGCATCTTTTATGTGTATATCAAATCAGTACATCCGTTGCTTATCTTGTGATTGGTTTGTTTCCTATTGTAGAGTTTAAGAGTGCTTTACATATTTTAATCAGTTTTTAAAAATATTTATTTTATTTTTATTTGAAAAGCAGAGCTACAAGAAGAAGGAAATTAGAGGTCTTCCCTCCCCTGGCTCACTTCCCAAATGGCTATAATGGCCAAAGGTAAGCTGGTCCTCCGCTGTTTTGTCAGGCCGTAAGCAAGGAGCTGGATCATAAGTGGAGCAGCCTGAACTCAAACTGACACCCATATGCGCTGTATCGCTGGCTCCTACATGTTTTTGATACAAGTCAGTTATCAGATGTGTTTTGTTGATATTATACTTCATTCTGGGTTTGCCTTTTCATTCTCTCAGCCAGTCTTTTTCACAAAGAAGTTTTAAATATCCCTGAAGTCCAATATGGTGGGTTTTTTTTTTTCATGTCTTGCTTTTGTAGAATGGAGTTGTGAACATCCAGAGCTGCTCATTTGGTCTGGCCCAGCCAAGGCAGCTGCAGGTGGACTTGACATTCAGTAAAGCAATAGCAAAATCTAAGTTGATATTTTTGTGTGGACCAGGAATAAAGTAATTACCCAAATGACTCTTGGCAAATACATATATATTCCCCACACCTGGATTTAAGGAGTCATCACCATGCCTAAGTTCTTAGAAACTGGAATCTCAAATGGACACCAGTGTGAGAGCTGAGCATTCCACTTCCCATCCAGCTCCCTGCTAATGGCCTGGGAAAGCAGCAGAGGATGGGCCACGCTCTTGGGCACCTGCATCTATAGATAGGAGACCCAAAAGAAGCTCCAGGATTTCTCTCAGTCTCTTTTTTTCTCTCTGTAAAACTACCTTTTAAATAAAGATAAATAAATCCTTAAAAAAGGATTTTGTTTTTCTTTATGGCTCATTGCAGTTGGCAGGTGTGTTGGAGTGCGTGATGTGGTGAGCAGCTTGTGCCGTGTGCTGTTGGGAGAGTCTCCTGACGTCCCTGACAGTGTAGGGTGTTTTCTGATGGAATTCTGCTTTCTCAAAGTCTATAAATCATTAATTATATGACATTTTAGTCCTATAATTTTGTGATTTACTTTTAAGGCAACATAAAAACAGAAATATTATGCAATAATTTGACAGGAGGGAATAAATTAAAAGCAATGCATCTTAGTCATTCTATATCTTTAAAAAAACATTTTAATGAATGTAAAGAGGACAGAGGTATAATTCTAAGAACACAACCCCACTTTCTGCACTCCCTTGCTCCTCCTTAAACTCCCTTTCTTCTTCCCCTCTCTTCATGAGTTTTCACTCAGGCATAATTTTAGTTCACTTTGTATTTACCGGCTTAATTCAGCACAGGTCATGACTTGGAATAAGTAAAAAGTAGAAAGACTCCTGTTCCACAAGAGTCTAAGCAAGGGCTAAAATCAATAATTCAGATTCCAACTATTAAGCGAGTTTAGTCTTATGCCCCTTGAGATTTTCATGTTTCCTTCTACATAGAGATCAGCTGTCTGAAAAGCAAAATCTAACTAGGTATGGAGATTAATATCTTTAAATACCACAGAGGATCAAGAAGATAGCTGAGGGTACCGCTCACTAAAGCTTTTTCTAACATGATAGCCTTCCTAAGTCCTATGACCCACATTACAGATAAAGCCTTTCAGACAGTAGGGTTAATTTCTCATACTAACACAGCAAAAATTTGTAAACATTAAAAACATTTTTAAAAACCTTTCCTTTTGTGATATTTGTGAACTGCAAGAAATGATGAAAGTAGGATCCGGCTGGATCCCCCAGATGCCTACACACTTGTCTTGATTCTAGGGTACAGTTGACACCAATGCTTTGTGTTGCTCTTAAGGAGTTCTCAAGAGATATCTCCCTTCAGTTTAGCATAAGATGGTCCACTAATCTTGGACTTTGAAAATTGCCTGCCTGCTTTCTTTTTTTAAAGATTTATTTTTATTATTATTTTTTTATTGGAAAGGCGGATATACAGAGAGGAGAGACAGGGAGGAAGATCTTCCGTCCATGGATTCACTCCCAAAGTGAGCCCAACAGCCGATACCATGCCGAACCGAAGCCAGGAGACTCTTCCAGGTGCGGGGTCCCAAAGCTTTGGGCTGTCCTCGACTGCTTTCCCAGGCCACAGGCAGGGAGCTGGAAGGGAAGCGGGGCTGCTGGGATAGAACTGGCGCCCATATGGGATCCTGGGCGTGCAAGGCAAGGACCTTAACCACTTGCGCCACCGCGCTGGGCCCAGCCTGCCTGCTCTCTAACCCAAGGAGTCACAAACTTATGCTTTTCTTCAAGGCTCATATCTGATCTCCCATATTTTCCTATGAGGTAACTAGGGGGACAATGAAGTTGGAGGTGGATGGTTTCCCAATCATTTGCCTGGGATGTAAGCTTCAGGTTTTGTTTTGGAGAGCCCCTCTTAGAATATAGGAGTAAAACCATATTAGCTATGGAGGGATTCAATATGGGGGGAGGGCTTGGGGAGGGCTTGGGGGAATCCCAAAGCCTATGAAGCTGTGTCATAAAATGAAATGATAATAATAATAATAAACTATATTAGCAAAGCACTGGGCTGCAAATACCAGAAATGAATGTTGGCAGCTTAGCTTCTTCATGGTTGGAAATTAAAAAAAAATGTTATTGCCTAGGAGTATTTAAGAGATTACGGCCTTTACTTAGCAACTAAAAAGTCCTGAGAATAATTTATGTCCAAACTGCTTAGTTTTGTTACTTTTGAGCTGAATATTTAGTATTTAACTAGTACTGGGTAGGGGTCCCCTGCCCGCTGGCAACTATAATATGCTGTCCTATTTTTCCTACATAAGCATTTCATTTTTATTCTAATATGTTCCAGACTAAATAAGCTTAGCATCCTTAAGCAAAACATTTAGAATCTAATTGTAATTAACCTTGACTTGTGTTATGATTTATAATTAACACAGGCCTCTCAATTACTCCAGTTGATTTTATGAGTTCTGACACTTGTTTTGATAAAGCTCGCATGGTGAAGCATTTGGAAGTGGTATTGGTGAAAAGACGGCTTAAAGCTCAGGAATTTGGGCACTAAGTTTTCTAAATTCTCTGTGGGTTTTTCTATTTTATTTTTATGTATACAATTTAATCATTTTAAAATTTAATATTTTTATACGAACTCACCATTATGTTCATCTTCCTGAGGGGATTAGAGAGATTAAGGGAATAACGTTCACTCAAAGCTAAGAAATTAAACTGTGAAAGCCAAATAGTCAGGCTTCAAGGAGTTGCTGTAATGAAAGTTTATGAAAAAAAAAGATTAAAAATTAGAAAGCTTACACATTTGATTCAGTTTTTTTTTTTTTTTGGATGGGGGAAAGGGCCTTTATTCAAAATGGGTATGTTCAGCTATCAAAAAACAGTATGCTCTCTTTCTGCTCTACGTACGACCCTGAGACTATGATCAGTGCCCACTGGATATAGCAATCAAGTAGTTTTGATAAGATCACTTTCTTTGATTGTTAGGGTAAGCTATATCACCAAAGAAAGCTAAATGCTACTCATACAAAGGTACAACAGCCAAATTCTATTAAGAATATTTAAAATGCTGGCTCTGTGGGAGAAGACAGGACTAATGCAGAAAGCGGGTTTATATTTACCATTTGGGGGTGTTAGCTATGTGACACAAAGCCCTGACTCAAGATGGCTTCAGCAATGAAGAAGAGTTATTCTCCCAGCACAGGAAGTCCAAGAATGGGGTAGCTTCCGGTTGATTAGCTCAGACACTCAACAGCAGCAGACAGCTGAGTTCTTGGCATCTTTGTACTTCGCCATCCTGAATCCCTAGTGCCCCCGGTTGTTTCCAAGATGGCTGCCACAGCCCCAGAACGCATGGTGGGGAACGTGGCAGGCAGCAGCGACTCTGTCCCAGCCATTTTGTTTTGTTTTTGTTTTTAATTCTACTAAGGGGAAGCCTTACAGAGTTCCTACTCATCACAGTAGTCAGAGTTAATGCTGTGTACATAAGCAAAGGCGTCCTTGGTAATAGAGACAGGGAAGCAGGCCATGGGATGTGGCCCCCTCGGACCTCAACGCTGAGACGTGGAGAGGAGGGGGACACTCCAGCGACACCAGTGCTCTTGTTACAGGGGGCGGGGAGGGCTGTATTTGGGCTTAGCGGTGTCTCTTACTATGGGAAACATTTCCCCTGGTTCTGATGAAACTTAAAAATGGAACATGAAGGGATTTGGAGGAATGATCAGAATTTGCCATATGTGGGTCTAGGAGTTGATAAATCGGTGTGGTCTCATGAATTCAGCTGAAACACACTGAGCAAGGAAATAGGAAACAATTCAGTCAATGATGAAAAGTTCTGAAGTGCTCTGAGGTTGACCCACATCGGTGCTGTGGCCCACGGAGGTTCACTTTGTTCATCTCAAATCTTCCTTAGCTTTCTCTAGAGGAAAATTTCTATTTTAAGCTGCAGAACCTTCTGCTAAATATATGGCCATGAGTCTATGAGAAGGATTCATAAAAAAAATGATGCTTCATATTATCTTAACAGCATGTGCTATCCTGAGGCTTGTTTTGAAATTCTTAAATACAAACGAGGACTTCCAAAAACAGAATTGGCATATATATCCATATGAGAAATGTGAAAATTTGAAATGTAAAAATAGAATTTATAACTTATCAAGGAATATGGATGAAATATACTTGGTGCTTTTTTTTTTAAAGATTTATTTATTTATTGGAAAGTCAGATATACAGAGAGGAGGAGAGACAGTGAGAAAGATCTTGTGTCTGATGATTCACTCCCCAACAGAGTGCCACGGCCGACACTATGCCGATCTGAAGCCAGGAGCCAGGAACTTCTTCCGGGTCTCCCACGTGGGTGCAGGGTCCCAAGGCTCTGGGCTGTTCTTGACTGCTTTCCCAGGCCACAAGCAGGGAGCTGGATGGGAAGTGGAGCTGCTGGGATTAGAACCGGTGCCCATATGGGATCCCTGCGAGTTCAAGGCGAGGACTTTAGCTGCTAGGCCATGCTCCTGGGCCCACTTGGTGCTTTTTATTGCTTACTTTAAGTTGTAATAAGTTGACCTATCACCCTCCCCTCCTTCAATTTAAAGAACAGTAAGTGGTCTGATGCTTAGGGCGCTTTACTTCGTACCCACACTGGCAATGAATTGCATAATTTGGGCAAGTTACTTGACAATCCCCAACTCTAAAGATGGTTTCTGGTTTTCTATATGTGTGCATAAAAATAAAAACAAAAAATACATATAGTTGCATATACATACATGTATAGGTAAGGGGCAGCTATCTCTTTGAAGGGGAGGATTGTGCACATGGCTTGAGTTTATTTTCTCACATCAAAATAATCATGAAGTATCAAAGCAACAGTAGTAAGGGTAGGCATAAGGTTAGTTAAGGTTGAGACCGGAGCCTAAAGCACCATACTTTCGAGTGATAGGTTTACCAGAATCTGTCCAGGTTTGCCCAAAGTGGACATCGAATAGTTTATTACATGAAGTAAGCAGTGTGAATTTTCTGCCAAACTTGTAAACTTCCTAGGAAAATGAATGACATGATTTTTTTCCCACCCTGAGAAGCTCAATTGTGCAGAATCTGTTTCCTCTCTTCTGGCATAACTCCTTATGTTATTTTTAAAAAATGATTTACTCTACTTCTTTGAAAGTTGGACTCAGAGAGTGAGGGGGAGGGGCAGAGTGAGAGAAGAGAATTCTGGTTCACTTTCCAGGTGCCTGCAATTGCTGGGACTGGCTGAGGAGGAAACTGGGAGCCAGGAGCTTCCTCTGAGTCTCCCAGGTGGATGCAGGGACCCAGGTACTTGAACCACCTTCCACTGCTTTCCCAGCTGCGTCAGCAGGGAACTAGAGTGAAAGCGTGGCAGCTGGGACATGACATGGTGTTATATGTGATGCTAGTGCTGCTGAGCTGCTGTGCCACAGCATCGGCTCCTGTTTATCTTGTGGAAGGCGAACAAAAAGAAATAAAAATTCTCAGTCCATTTATTTTCAAAAGGACCTCTTTCTCCTTGTATTTAATCATGTCCCTGGGTATTAAATCTCAGAGCTAAATTGATTTTCTCTCTGAATTTGAGGTCATTGTTTTGTTATCTTAAAGCATTGAGTGGAACTGATCTGTATCTATATAGGGAGGAGAGAAAGAGAATCTAGCCTGGGAATTGTTTCAGTGCAGGATTGAAGTAAAGCTTAGTCAGAGCTGGAACAGTTGCTGGAGACAGCAGTCTCCACGCTGCAAGTCCAAAAATTACAGGACAAGCACGGGGAGCAGACTTTGGCAGCTGTAATTTGGAACTTTGGAGTCAGACAAATTTGCCTCTGTCCCTACCGCCCCCTGTCGCTTAACAGTTGTATGACCTTGGGAAATTGCTTAATATCCAAGCCTTAGTTTCTCATGCATAAAATATAGGCAATAATAGTATCTACGCCACAATAGTTGTGACAATTCAAAGGGGAGTCCTCACTAAGCTTTTAACATCCAAAAGTTCTCAGTAAAATTTAGCTACTAATCATTATTACAGTTAAAATGAATAATAATCATACATGTAAAAATGGTTTTGTTAGAATTTATGAGACAGAAGCATTTGTCTTTAAAGTGTAAAAATGTTATAAGAATATTAAAAATGTACCAGTGTAAATATATGTAAAGTAAAAGTGAAGAGACTTTATTATTTGACTTTAATCTTGTTTGCCGGAAGAAGACACTGAAACATATTTTTAAGCTAATATTTTTTCTAAAATGTCTCTCAGCGTTCATTAAGATGACGTCAATTTCAATGGTGGCAGTTGAGTTCGCACCACACAAGTGGATAAATGTGATCAACTTCAGCAAGTTCTTTCTATGTTGGGGTTATTGCATGTTGATTTTTCTGTTGGATTTTTACCTTTTTCACTTGACTGTAATCTTAAATTCTATATATAAGCCTCATTTCGTGATTGGCCAAACATCAAACCTGGCTCTCTAACATGGTAAGAGGCAGTTGGCATCCCCTGTTTTTCAGCTCCCCTCTGCTGTTACCGACTCTCAGCCGTCACTAGATAGGTTATCACTCTCAGATAATTGTCATATGAAGTATATAAATTCCGCTTGGTAAGTGTGTCTTCTGTGTTCTATCAGCTGATTCTGAACATTGAAAATCAGTAGCTCTTATAACATTAGGAGTGTATAAATATTGTTCTCTGCAGAAGCAAATGATGTGATTATATGTGTACAGAAGATACTACCTTAATATCACAAACTTTGTGTTTGTAAAAGAATGTTTCAAGTACAGATCTTTAAAGTGTTATAACTTACTCAGAATAGTTTTAAATTTACCAAACAAGGTAAATTTAAACCCTCACTCAGTTTGCAATTTGTCTCTACCATCCCTGTTGCCTAACAGGCTCCTCACTCAATTTCCCCATTCAGAGTTCATGCTAGTATCTTTGTCAAAAGACTTCAAAAATTAAAAAAAAAACTATTAATACACAAAAACCATGCAACTGTTTATAGGCTCAGATGTTTCTCTACACTTTTTTCTCCTGAAATTTCTAAACATTTTGCTCATTTAATAAGAAAGGTATAATATCTTAAATTGTCCAGCTGCTTAATCATACTTTTAAAATTAACATTTAATTTTTATTGGAAAGGCAGATAAGATTTACAGAAAGAAGAAGAGGCAGAGAAAGATTTTTCATCTGCTGGTTCACTCCCCAAGTAGCATGACAGCTGGAGACGAGTCGATCTGAAGCCAGTAGTCAGAAGCTTCTGGGTTTCCCACGCGGGTGCAGGGTCCCAAGGCTTTGGGCCATCCTTGACTGCTTTCCCAGGCCACAAGCAGGGAGCTGGCTGGGAAGTGGAGCTGCTGGGATTGGAACCGAAACGCATATGGGATCCTGGCGGGTTTAAGGTGAGGACTTTAGCCGCTAGGCCATGCTGCCGGGCCCCAGATACAAGCATTTTTAAAAGTAATGAAAATATAATTAATACAATTCAACTTATTATTTGAAATATCTTTAATATTTATTTAAAAAAAGACTTACTTAGTTTTATTGGGAAGTCAGATATCAGAGACATACTATTTCTTAATATGACTTTACCACATTAGATATATGTTATGTTTTAAGTTTTCCCGGCCTTTTTCTGTCTGTCAGATCTCATATTTTATGTCTACAGTTAATAGGATTCCTTGGTATTGACTTTCAGAATAAAAATGATTCCTCCAATTTTGAGGTCTTTGTTTTGGTCTTTTTAAAAATTATTATTATTATTTAATGCAGCAGATATTAAACAGTAATGCCATTTGGGTTTTCATGCCCAGTTGAAAAAACTTACTTTTGGTTGGTCCATTTTATGTATGGTCTTTTAGAACCTTCCCTGTCACCAGGATTCCCAGGTTGGAGTTTTGTTTTTTAAGTTCAGAGATTTTCTTCAATCACTTATTTGATTATTTTAGCTCATCTTTTTTTTTTTTTGGCCCTTTCTTTTTGGAACTTTTATTAGATGAATGTGTGTTCTTGAGGATTTATCATATTAGGAAATTGAAATATTTCATATTTTTTTATGTCTCTCTGGTTTGATGATAGGGGTACTTCTCATATTTAGCAATTATATTTTTAGAACAGTTTGCTTTCTGTCTCCTTATTTCCTTGGAGGGGATAATATCATCTCAGGCATCTTTTGAACTATTAATATTAAGTAGTTCTCTTTCTTTTCTTCACTTACCTTGGTCCCTGACTTTAGCAGTTGTGTGTACCTCAAAAGTTGTAAATGTTTGATTAATGAGAGTTCTGGGTGAAGAGCATGGTTAGTTAATACAGAAGGATGAAGTATATTTTATTACTGATTTTTCAAAAATTTTAAATTGAAAAAATTAGTGTCTACCAAGAATAAAAATGTAAAAACAAAAATATAAAAGCACAACAATAATACATGCAAGAAAAAGTTTAAAAAGATAAATCTTTTGATTCCAAGTTTTCAGTCCTTCAAAATA